CCTGTGCATCAGTGTAAGGAGAATTGACATTTTTGCTATTTTCATCTTGCAATCCATGAACACAGTATGTCTCTCCATTTACAGTCAGGACCTGCATAACAACGTTTCAGTCAACAAAAGACCGCATATACGATGGTGATCCCATAAGATTAGTACCAGTTAGCCTAGATTTCACCTTTAAGTATGATCTTGGCTGTAGATTTTTTTGTATCGATGGAATAGCCTACTAAGTTTGTGTAAGTACACTCTATGATGTTTGCATGGAGGAAATCAACTAATGATGCATTTTTCAGAACGTATCCCTGTCCTTAAGCCATGCATGACTATATAGAGATCTTCATTGATCTCTTTTATCAGTGTTGTATTTTTTCAGCATACAAGTCCTATACATGTTTGATTAGATTTGCATCTAAGTATTTCATTTTTGTTTTGAGAGATTATAAATAGTATTTTTCATTTTGTGTCCACATGTACATTGCTAGTATATAGAAGGACAATAGATATTTTTAATGTTTATCTTGTATCCTGAAGCCTTGCTGAACTCTCTTAATAGTTCTAGGAGTTTTTGATAGATTCCTTGGCATTTTCTCTGTAGACAATCATGTTATACGCGACAAGTGACCATTTTATTTCTTCCTTTATGATCTGCATGCCTTCCATTTTCTTGGCTTATTGTATGAGTTAGAACTCCCAGCATTTTGTTGAATTAGAGTGGTGAGAATAGAAATATTTTAAATTTTATTTTCCAGTTGTTGCTAATGATATACAAAAGCTACAATGGAAAAACAATACATCTAATTTTTGTATATTGACCTGGTATCCCAGAAAGAGTTAAATTTGTTTATTACTTGTAGTAGCTGTTTTATAGATTTCTTGTAAATAATGTCACCTACAAATGTAGACAAATTTACTTCTTCATTTTTGATACTTATGCCCTTCCCTTTTCTTGCCTTATTGCACTAGACAGGACCACCAGTGCAATGTTCAATGGAAGTAGTGAAAGTGGACATCTTTGACCTGTTCACGGTTTTAGAGTAAAAGTATTCAATATTTCACCTTTAAGTATGATCTTGGCTGTAGATTTTTTTTTTTTTTTTTTTTTTTGAGGAAGATTAGCCCTGAGCTAACTACTGCCAATCCTCCTCTTTTTTTGCTGAGGAAGCCTGGCCCTGAGCTAATGTCCGTGCCCATCTTCCTCTACTTTCTATGCAGGATGCCTACCAGAGCATGGCTTTGCCAAGTGGTGCCATGTCTGCACCCGGGATCTGAACTAGCGAACCCCAAGCTGCCAAAGCAGAATGTGCGCACTTAACTGCTGCGCCACCAGGCCGGCCCCAATACCAACCTTCTTAAAAGTACTGAAGAACAAAGAAGGAATTACCAGGCTAAAATCTAGGTGAAAGTGTGAATGCAGAGAGGAACCTGAGCACTGAAACCGCCTTTGCCCTGAAAGCATTTGCCAAACCAAGTGAGCTGGAGCAAGCTTCACAGAATGGAAACCCAAGACCTGGGTCTGCCCCATGATTAGGAAAAGATGCCTCCTGCTGGGATCAAAAAGGAGTAAACCAGGAGTAAGGCGGTCCAGGCTCCCTGACCTAGGGGATTGCAAAGTAAGTTCCTTGGTGCTAAGCAGACGGAGGGAAGAAAGTATTTCTGAGAAGTTGTAATGACAAGCGAGCCCTGGGTGGAGATGTGGTTCCAAATTACATCACTTGTGTGGTAAAAAAAAAAAATCCTCAAGCTGTAAATTTAGTTTAAACTGGCTGCAGATTATCTGCATTTAGACAACTGGTGGAAGCAAATAAAAATTCCCTCAAATAAGTTTTCAAAGAGAATATACAGTCAGATATATCCCAGCACACAAGAAATAACAGAAAGCAAAAACCAACTAGCAATCCATATATTGGAATGATCACACTCAAGTTATAAAACGTCTCTGATTATTATGTTTAAAGAAATAAAACATAGACTTGAAAAATATTTGCAAGGAGCAGGAAATAAAACCATCACCAAATGACCAAGCAGATTTGAAAATAACCAAATAGAACTTTTAGAAATTAAAAATACAATAACTGAAATTAAAAGCTCAATAGAATGGAACTTCCTCATCTGATAAAAGACATGTATAAAAATCTACAGCCAAGGGACCGGCCCGGTGGTGCAGCGGTTAAGTTTGCACGTTTCACTTCTCGGTGGCCTGGGGTTCGCAGGTTTGGATCCCGGGTGCGGACATGGCATCGCTTGGCAAGCCATGCTGTGGTAGACATTCCACATATAGAGGAAGATGGGCACCGATGTTAGCTCAGGGCCAGTCTTCCTCAGCAAAAAGAGGAGGATTGGCAGCAGTTAGCTCAGGGCTAATCTTCCTCAAAATAAAATAATAATAATAATAATAAAACTGTTGAAAAAAAAAAAAGAAGTTTGGTGGGGTTTTTTTGCTGGTGAGGAAGATTGGTCCTGAGCTAACATCTGTTGCCAATCTTCCTCTTTTTGCTTGAGGAAGATGGTCCCTGAGCTAACATCTGTGCCAATCTTCCTCTTTTTGCTGAGGAAGACTGGCCCTAAGCTAACATCTGTGCCCATCTTCCTTTACTTTATATGTGGGACGCCTACCACAGCATGGCTTGCCAAGCGGTGCCATGTCAGCACCAGGGAACCCCAGGCTGCTGAAGCGGAACATGCGAACTTAACTGCTGCGCCACCAGGCTTGCTCCTACCACCACTCTTATTCAACATAGTACTGGAGGTTTTGGCCAGAGCAATTAGGCAAGAGAAAGGAATAAAAGGAATCCAAATAGGGAGTGAAGAAGTGAAACTCTCACTGTTTGCAGATGACATGATCTTATATATAGAAAACCCTAAAGAATCTATCGGAAAACTATTAGAAATAATTAACAACTACAGCAAAGTTGCAGGACACAAAATCAACTTACAAAAATCAGTTGCTTTTCTATACTCTAATAATGAACTAACAGAAAGAGAACTCAAGAATACAATTCCATTTACAATCACAAAAAAAAACCAATAAAGTACCTGGGAATAAATTTAACTAAGGAGGTGAAGAACTTATACAATGAAAACTATAAGACATTATTGAAAGAAATAGATAATGACATAAAGAGATGGAAAGAGATTCCATGCACATGGATTGAAAGAATAAACGTGGTTAAAATGTCCATACTACCCAAAGCAATCTACAGATTCAATGCAATTCCAATCAGAATCCCAATGACATTCTTCACAGAAATAGAGCAAAGAATCCTAAAACTCATATGAGGCAAGCAAAGACCCCAAATTGCTAAAGCAACACTGAGAAAAAAGAACAAAGCTGGAAGCATCACAATCCCTGACTTCAAAATGTACTACAAAGCCATAGTGATCAAAATGGCATGGTACTGGTACAAAAACAGGCACACAGATCAACGGACCAGAACCGAAAGCCCAGAAATAAAACTGCACATCTATGGACAGCTAATCTTCAACAAAGGTGCCAAGACCATACAACTGGAGAAAAGACAGTCTCTTCAGTAAATGGTGTTGGGAAAACTGGACAGCCATATGCAAAAGAATGAAAGTAGACCATTATCTCATGCCATACACAAAAATAAACTCAAAATGGATCAAAGACTTGAAGATAAGTCCTGAAACATAAAACTCCTGCAAGATAATATAGGTAGTACACTCTTTGACATCGAACTTAAAAGGATCTTTTTGAATACCATCTCTTCTCAGACAAGGGAAACAGAAGAAAAAATAAACAAGTGGGCGTTCATCAGACTAATGAGCTTCTGCAAGGCAAAAGAAACTAGAATCAAAACCGAAAGACAACTCACCAACTGAGAGAAAATTTTTGCAACATCCGATAAGGGGTTAATCTCCATAATGTATTAGGAACTCACACAACTGAGCAACAACAACAAAAATAGCCTGATCCAAAAATGGGCAGAGGATATGAACAGACAGTTTTCCAAAGAAGATATACAGATGGCCAATAAACACATGAAAAGATGTCCAACATCACTAATCATCAGGGAAATGCAAATCAAAACTACACTAAAATACCACCTTACATCTGTTAAAATGGCTATTATCACTAAGACTAAAAATAATAAATGTTGGAGAACGTGTGGAGAGAAGGGAACCCTCATACACTGCTGATGGGAATGCAAACTTGTGCAGCCACTATGGAAAACAGTGTGGAGATTCCTCAAAAAACTAAAAATAGAACTACCATATGACCCAGCTATCCCACTACTGGGTATCTACCCAAACAACTTGAAATCAACAATCCAAAGTAACATACGCACCCCTATGTTCATTGCAGCACTGTTCACAATAGCCAAGACACGAAACTATCCAAGTGCCCATCGACTGATGATTGGATAAAGAAGATGTGGTATATATAGAGAATGGAATACTACTCAGCCAGAAAACAAAACAAATTCATCCCATTTGCCACAACATGGAAAGACCTGGAGGGAATTATGCTAAGCGAAATAAGCCAGACTGAGAAAGACAAACACCAGACGATTTCACTCATATGTGGAATATAAACAACCACATGGACAAAGAGAACAGTTCAGTGGTTACCGGGGGAAGGGGGGTGGGGGTGGGCACAGGGGGTGAAGGGGAGCACCTATGTGGTGACAGACAAGAAATAACGTACAACTGAAATTTCACAATGATGTAAACTATTATGAACTCAAATTTTTAAAAAATCAGCTAAAATCTAAAAAGTTAAAAAAAAAAAAGGACTTCGCTTTCCATACGGTTGCGCCAAGAGGCGCGGGACACAGCAAATTTAGCAGGTGCGCCTTACGCTAGGGCGGTTGCCTAGGTCACCCCGCAGCTTTGCCTGGGCCAAGAGGAAAGTGGGCGGGGTGCGGGAGCAGACATCCCGCCCCGACACAGGGCGCGGCCTGGGATTGGCTCGCCGTTGTCGGGCCACGCCCCCAACCCGGGCTCGCGTGGCGCCCCTAGCAGTTGACTGCCTCTGGCCGGGTTCTGAGAACCTGGAGGCTCCAGCCTGGGGAGGAGAACCCCCAAGGCCGGGACAGCTCAGCCCCGCCCGAGTAATAGCCCCGGACCGGCGCAAGAAGTGCCTCTGTTCCCGGGGATCCCTGCGATCACATGTTCCCCTGTTATTCTTCAGGCTGCAGTGCAAGCCCGGAGGTCTGCGTCCAGGTCCGGTAAATTCCGAGAAATCTTGGCTCAGGTCCGGCCCCTCGGCTAATCCGTGTTAAAAGAGGAACTAGACTCAAAAGATGATCTCCAAGGAGCCTGCCCCGTCTTACAGGCCCTCTTCTTTATGGAAGTGCTGGGCTTCTCTTGGCTTTGGCTTCCTCAGTGTAAATGAATTAAGAATCGGGAAGCCCAGAACGGGCCCTGGCTCTGGCACTCACTTGCTTTGTGGCCTTGGACAAGTCATATCCTATTTCTAGACTTATTTCCTCATCTCAGTGTGAAGGGCTTGAACTAGATGTCTTCTAAGGTCCCTTCTAGTTCTTCTTACCTATGAAACAGCCTTGATAACGTGTAAAGATTCTTAGTAAATCTTTGTCATGTTATACAAATTGTAAGCAATTCACATGGCTATCTGCTCATCCTCCTTCACTTTCTGTATCCAGAAGTTCCAGGAAAAGAGGGAAAAGTCTAGAATGGCACCTAAAAATAAAATAGAGACTCTCAACAGATGCTGGAAAGGCTGATTGCTTGCAGCTCAGGAGATGCTCCTGCAGGGGAGGGTGGAATAATCCTCTACTCTTTAACTCCCTCATTTTACAGAAGAGAAAACTTTGAAAGCAGCTGAGTCAGGCTGCTAGTAGGAGGAGGAACCACATTTTCTGACTTGACTCCATGATCAGTCCCTCACAGAGTGTTGGCAAACAGAAGGCATAAACATATAAAAACAGATTTTAAAAATTGTCCACAGAAATAAAGGCAGACAGTTTTAATTTGTAGCACTTCCCACTTTCCTTTACTTAGTATTTCTATCCTGCCAACATTTGGGGTAACTTACAAACCAGAAATAGAGCAATAAAAAATAAAACAGAAGCCACTTATTCCCTCTTCTGCTTTTCCTTTCTCTCACCCTCACCTCTCCAGAAGAGCTTCTAAACTTCTTCATAACATTCTTCATTAGTCACTGACCCACCTTCCAAACAAAGGGGGGAAAAAAGCCAAATAAAGCCAAAACCAAAATGTGCCACTTATATGAAATGTCCAGACCAAGTAAATCCTGTTACGGAGACAGAAAGTCCATTAGTGGTTGCCGGAGGGGTGGGGCGGGGGGTGGGGGGTTGGTGGTCATTGAGGGGAAACAAGAAGTGACTCCTAATAGATACGAAGTTTATTCTGGGGGTGATGAAAATGTTCTAAAATTATGGTGATGGTTGCACAACTCTGTGACCAGACTAAAAAGCATAGACTCGTACACTTTAAGTGGAGTTTATGGTATGTGAATTTTATCTCAACAAAGCTTCACAACAAAAGAATCATACCCAAAAGCAAAAACAAATCAACACATGCCTTTGTTTCTTCCCTAGGTTCTGTGTGTTTACATCCTCTCACTCTTAGGAGATCTGGGCAGCTGTTCTGGCCATCTGCCCCTGCAGACGCTCCCTGAATCCCCAAGTGTGTCACCCCCAAGGTTGCCCACCTCCTGCTCTGGCCACCGCTTTACACTTTGCCCAGCTCCATGTAATTGAAGGAAGCGTGCTGGTTCCCCTGCTCACCTGCCTCACCTGCCACCTCGTTTCTTGGCTACCCTGGATGGAATTGGGATAAAGAAGGAAAAGATAATCATGGCAGAATAGAGGTGAGTCTGGTGGGAGATTGGAGAAGTGAGAAACTGGCTAGGGGAAAATCAGGAAGAACAAAACCAACTTCAACTCTTGGAGATTTTTTTCCCTCCTGGACTACTTCAGGGATGGCAGATGGCGTTTGAGTAGCTTTCCTCATGGTCTGTGCTGTCTTCGTCCTGGTGGAGCTCTCGGAGGGAGCATCACGCAGTTGGCTGTTACACATCTCCTTCCTTTAAGACTTTACTAAAGGTTCGCCTTCTCAGAGAAGTCTCCCCTGGCCTTGTTGTCCAAAACTTCAGCACCTTCCCTGACCCAAGACTTCCTGGCCCCCTTTCCTGCTTTATTTTTTCTTGTTATTTTGTTCATCTACTTTCCTTAGACTTTAACCTCTGTAAGGGCAGGAATTTTTTTTTTTTTTTTTTAAAGATTGGCACCTGCGCTAACATCTGTTGCCCATCTTCTTCTTTCTTCTTCTTCTTCTTCTTCTTCTCCTCCCCAAAGCCCCGCCAGTACATAGTTGTATATTTTAGTTGTGGGTCCTTCTGGTTGTGCCATGTGGGATGCCGCCTCAGCGTGGCCTCATGAGCGGTGACATGTCTGCGCCCAGGATCCGAACCGGTGAAACCCTGGGTCACCAAAGCGGAGCGCATGAACTTCACCACTCAGCCACGGGGCCAGCCCCTGTTTTAGGTCTTATCTGTTTTGTTCACAACTGTATCTACAGTGCCTAGAAGAACCCAGAGTAAGCCATCAATAAGTATTTATTGAATGAATGAATGAATGGACATATTATGTGCTGGGTACTTTTGTAATATAGAGGGAAAGTTTGAAAAGACTGTTTTGTAAACCTGACAGATACATAGCTAGGAGGCAAGGGAGAAAAAGAGGCCTTTTTTTCTCCTACAAGTCATTTTAAAAAACCTCTGGAGTACAAGAAGAGAGAAGTCTAGAATGACATTTGGGCAGTGAGGGACTAGGGTGATGGATTCATAATTCAGAAGTTAACTGGACCGTTCCAGAGAGACACGGAAGGGAGGATGAACTCCAGACGCCTTTTTGATGACCAGGACTGGTTTCTGATCCAAGCTCTAGCTCTCAGTATCAGCTTAACTTTTGCAAAATTACATAACATTTTAAAGCTTCACTTCCCTCTTCTGCACAATAGGATGATAATACTTTCATATTTGAAGGATTCAGTAAGATAAAATATGACAGCAGCTGTCAGTTCCTGGCACACAGTAGGTGCAATTAATTATTGCTTCCCCTCTCTGCCCTGATGTGGAGAAGCTACTTCTCCCTCTTGTGATTTCCTCCTGTGAATACAAGTTTGTTACTCAAGAGTTTGAAGCCACACTGTCAGTTTGACTTAAAAAAAAAAAATCTGAAGTTTTCTCTTTGGACTTTTAAAGAGTTTATTGGTTCTGAAGATATATGTTTTAATTCCTTAGGTAGGTAGTTAAAGAAGGATGTGAGAAAAAATTAGTGACGAGGAGTTATGGATTGGCATTTACTTTAGGTTCACTACTTGGCATATAACGCAGAACCAGAATAAGCTGACAGCTGAGTGCCCCCCAGGGTCCTGCCCAATGTCCCTCTTCAGCCTTAGATTTTTTTTTGTTTGCTTTTTAAAAATTGAGTTAAAATACACGTAACACAAAGTTTACCATCGTAAGCATTAAATTTTAATTTTATTGAGGTCGCAATAGTTTATAACGTCGTGAACTTTCAGTCGTACATTATTTTTTGTCAGTCACCATATATATGTGCCCCTTCAGCCCTTGTGCCCACCTCCTAACCCACTTCCCCTCTGGTAACGACTTAACTGTTCTCTTTGTGTGTGCGTTATTTTATCTTCCACATATGAGTGAAATCATACAGTGTTCATCTTTCTCTGTCTGGCTTATTTCACTTAACATTATACCCTCAAGGTCCATCCATGTGGTTGTAAATGAGACGATTTTGTCTTTTCTTATGGCTGAGTCCATTGTGTGTGTGTATGTATATATGTATACCCGTATACATCTTCTTTATCCATTATCAGTTGATGGGCACTTGGGTTGCTTCCACATCTTGGCTATTGTGAATAATGCTGCAGTGAACAGAGGGGTGCATGAGTCTCTTTGAATTGTTATTTCAAGTTCTTTGGATAAATATCCAGTAGTGGAATAGGTAGGTCATATGGTATTTCTACTTTTAATTTTTTGAGAAATCTCCATACTGTTTTCTATAGTGGCTGCACCAGTTTGCATTCCCACCAGCAGTGTATGAGGGTTTCTTTTTCTCCATACCCTCTCCAACATTTGTCATTTTTTGTCTTGGTGATTATAGCCATTCTAACAGGGGTGAGGTGATATCTTAGTGTAATTTTGATGTGTATTTCCCTGATGATTAGTGATGCTGAACATCTTTTCATGTGCCTCTTGGCCATCTGTATATCTTCTTTGGAAGAATATCTGTTCATATCCTCTGCCCATTTTTTTATCGGGTTGTTTGGTTTTTTTGTTGTTGAGTTGTGTGAGTTCTTTATATATTGTGGAGATTAACCCATTGTCAGATATATGATTTGCAGATATTTTCTCCCAGTTGGTGAGTCGTCTTTTCATTTTGTTCCTGGTTTCCTTTGCCTTCCAGAAGCTCTTTAGTCTGATGAAGTCCCACTTGTTTATTTTTTCTTTTGTTTCCCTTGCCCGAGTAGACATGGTATTCGAAAAGATCCTTCTAAGACCGATGTCAAAGGGTGTACTGACTATATTTTCTTCTAGGAGTTTTATGGTTTCAGGTCTTATCTTCAAGTCTTTGATCTGTCTTGATTAATTTTTGTGTATAGTGAAAGATAATGGTCTACTTTTATTCTTTTGCATGTGGCTGTCCAGTTTTCCCAACACCATTTATTGAAGAGACTTTCCTTTCTCCACTGTATGTTCTTAGCTCCTATGTCCTTTAGCTGTCCGTAGATGTGTGGCTTTACTTCTGGGCTTTCAGTTCTGTTCCATTGATCTGTGTGTCTGTTTTTGTACCAGTATCCTGCTGTTTTGATTACTATGGCTTTGTAGTACATGTTGAAGTCAGGGGTTGTGATGCCTCCAGCTTTGTTCTTTTTTCTCAGGATTGCATTTGCTATTCAGGGTCTTTTGTTGCCCCCTGTGAACTTTAGAATTCTTTGTTCTGTTTCCATGAAGAATGTCATTGGGATTCTGATTGGGATTGCATTGAACCTGTAGATTGCTTTAGGTCGTGTGGACATTTTAACTATATTTATTCTTCCAATCAATGTACATGGAATATCTTTCCATTTCTTTATGTCATCATTGATTTCTTTCAATACTGTCTTATAGTTTTCATTGTGTAGGTCTTTCACCTCCTTGGTTAAATTTATTCCTAGATATTTTATTCTTTTTGTTGTGATTGTAAATGGTATTGTATTCTTGAGTTCTCTTTCTGTTAGTTCATTATTAGAGTATAGAAATACGACTGGTTTTTGAAAGTTGATTGTGTACCCTGCAACTTTGCTGTAGTTGTTGATTATTTCTAATAGTTTTCTGATGGATTCCTTAGGGTTTTCTATACATAGTATCATGTCATCTGCAAACAGCAAGAGTTTCACTTCCTCACTCCCTATTTGGATTCCTTTTATTTCTTTCTCTTGCCTAATTGCTCTGGCTCAAACCTCCAGTACTATGTTGAATAAGAGTGACAAGAGTGGGCATTCTTGTCTTATTCCTGTTCTCAGAGGGATGGCTTTCAGTTTTTCCCCATTGAGTATGATGTTGGCTGTGGGTTTGTCATATATGGCCTTTATTATGTTGAGGTACTTTCCTTCTATACCTTTTTTTTTTCTTTTAAAGATTTTATTTTTCCTTTTTCTCCCCAAAGCCCCCTGGTACATAGTTGCGTATTTTTAGTTGTGGGTCCTTCCAGTCGTGGCATGTGGGACACCACCTCAGCATGGCCTGATGATCAATGCCATGTCCACGCCCAGGATTCGAACCGGTGAAACCCTGGGCCACTGAAGCAGAGCGCATGAACTTAACCACTTGGCCATGGGGCCAGCCCCGCTTCTATACCTATTTTATTGAGAGTTTTTATTGTAAATGGATGTTAGATTGTCAGATGCTTTCACTGCATCTATTGAGATGATCATGTGGTTTTTGTTCCTCCTTTTGTTAATGTGATGTATCACACTGATTGATTTGCGGATATTGAACCATCCCTCTGTCCCTAGTATAAATCCCACTTGATCATGGTGTATGATCTTTTTAATATTTTACGATATTCGGTTTGCCAATATTTTGTTGAGCATTTTTGCATCTATGTTCATCAGCGATATTGGCCTGTAATTTTCTTTCTTTGTCTGGCTTTGGTATCAGGGTGATGTTGCCCTCATAGAATGTGTTAGGAAGTGTTCCATCTTCCTCAATTTTTTATAATAGTTTGAGAAGGATAGGCATTAAATCTTCTTTGAATGTTTGGTAGAATTCTCCAGAGAAGCCATCTGGTCCTGGACTTTATTTTTGGGGAGGTTTTTGATTACTGTTTCAATCTGTGTACTTGTGATTGGTCTATTCAGATTCTCTTTCTTCTTCATTCGGTTTTGGGAGGTTGTATGAGTCTAAGAAATTATCCATTTCTTTTAGATTGTCCAATTTGTTGGCATATAGTTTTTCATAGTATTCTCTTTGTATTTCTGTGGCATCCATTGTAATTTATCCTCTTTCCTTTCTAATTTTACTTATTTGAGTCTTCTCTCTTTTTTTTTTTTTTTTTTTAAAGATTTTATTTTTTTCCTTTTTCTCCCCAAAGCCCCCCAGTACATAGTTGTATATTCTTCGTTGTGGGTCCTTCTAGTTGTGGCATGTGGGACGCTGCCTCAGCGTGGTTTGATGAGCAGTGCCATGTCCGCGCCCAGGATTCGAACCAACGAAGCACTGGGCTGCCTGCAGCGGAGTGCGCGAACTTAACCACTCGGCCACGGGGCCAGCCCCTCTTCTCTCTTTTTTTCTTAGTGAGTTGAGCT